GTCTAGACAAGTGCTAAACTAATGCCAATGAATGAATACCAATACAACACCTCAAGATCTCTAGCGATTCATTTTATTGACATTACTTTAAAGTGAAAACAGTCACCAGTTTTTAAAAGTGCTCTCTGCAAAGGGTACCCTCTAAAGGGTTAAACTGCATTACTCCAGCGACAATCCATTGTATCCCTGAAGGTGCAGTAAATATTATTTCTGAAAGAGTTTAATAAATGCATCTTTGTATGTGACTGTACTGTATGTGCATGAAGGTGTTAATGAGGTGCTGAAAATGCCAGGGCTCACACAGCCCTAATGATCTGAAGCCAAAGAACACCACAAACCATGTGCTGTACACATTAAAAAAGCACAAAAGGCAGAACATATAGGAATGCACGTGCACGGCGAATCTCGGCCATTTCTGGTTTTGATTATAGTTAATATGAGTTGAAAATAAACACTGAGCAACTGGAAACCATATTTCTATAACCTCCAGGGGCTTTCCACCTCTGAAAAGGGACATAAAGGAATCCATAACTACAACATGGATCATATTACTATAAACTTAAATAAGACCTGGACTTAAAGGCTGTTAGAGACAGATCATCCTAACAGACCACCATGTATTTGATACCACCAAAATCCACTGCACCTGAATGCTTTTTTTTCTTTCTTTTTTTTCTCAGCATTTTGGAAAATTACTCTTCGTTCTTGTCAACTTTAATAAGTGGAACATTTTTACAAGCCTGCTTTGTTTTGATTGCATCAGTTGAGCAGGCCTAAAGAGAACAGAGTTTTTATAGAAACAAAGTCTCTCTGCTGGGGTCGGGTTTTAGGTTCAGCATAATTTTGCAAGTGGGTGAGAAATCTGCAAGGTAGCTGCCTATTTTAGAAAGTTCTAAAAGTTCTAATGATGTGAACAAAACCTTTTGCTGTTTTGTTTCTCATTAATCCATGCTGCCACCTAGTGGTTATATTGAGGACTCCAACTTAAACTAAATAGTATAAGTTCCTTTAAAAAAAAACATGAAAAACTGTTTACTGTATACTAAGGATGGTGTGTTCGGTTCTTTGGGTGTCAGTCCATCTATAGCCAATGTTTTATTATGTATAATGTCAGAAGGAAGATCTGGTAATGGAGTTAACTACGTAACTGAACTTTCACCACATGGTCACATATTTAATACTTTGTCAAATACTCCCTCAGACCTTTCCTGCAGACATCTTCAGCTCTTGGGTATTGTAAAGTCTGTCTGCTTTTATTCTGCACTGAATTATGAAATGTCATCCAGTGAGATTTTATGCCTCGGGCTGAAAACACAGACAGAAACCTCCTGTACACTTCTGAATTCGGTCTGCTACTTCGTTCAGCAGCGAAATCATCAATAACTGCCAGTTCCATTGGTAGCCACTTTGACAAATGAGGTCATGAGCTGTTTCTTTTTCTTTTTTTCATCCACACTTTCTTTTTTTCCATCTCTTGATTGAGGCTGATTTTTGTTTCGCCAGTCCATAGAAATTTGTTTCAAAACTGGTTTCTTCTTTCAAGTTTTTGTGAATCTTTGCCTGGTTTTCTTCCCCATAAGACATAAGAGATTGGATCTTGAAGGCAATCAAGATCAAGATGACAGACAATTCTTCCGAATATTGAATTATCCTTAAAATGTCTAAAACCTCAACTGTGGCAAGTATAGACAAAGAATTTCCATAATGTAAAGCTCAGGGCAAAAGTATTGCACTATGTTGCATTTAATCATTAGTTATTGTTAATGTCTGGTTCTCTTCCATAGTGTGTCTTTTATCCTGTCCTGTTCACCCCTCACCCCAACCCCCATGAACCGAGTGGCCACTGTGACAAAACTGCAACAGTCTTCTACAGATATAGTAGAGCCTGCCAGAAAGAGTCAGCGGCGCTTCATCAGTGAGGCCTGTATGGGACTAGACAGAAGAAGAATCTAAAGGAACAATGCTGCCCACTTAGAGTTTGCCAGGCAGCACTGAAAGAACTATGAGATCATGTGGAGACAAAAAAGTATACCCATGTCTTAAGAATGAAAATGCAAGCATTATGTCTGACAAACACCAGACACTGCTATCCACCCAGCTAATGTGCAACCTGAGACAGGGTGGATGACAGTGAACCAAAGAGAGCAGCCAGTACAACGTTGGAATACTTTCAGAAGAGGTCTCTGGCTGCCCTTAACTGTTCCAGCCAAAAAGAACTGAAGATGGCAGTTTTTGGATGGCTGACGTCCAACTTGACCGAAATGGATCTGCCAATAATAATGGCCAGGTGTGCAAAGCTTATATTTTATCCAAGAAAACTCAAAGCTGTAATTGTTGTGAAGGGACTTGTTCTGAATTATAGCTATTTGAAAATTGCAAGTCTCAGATTTATTGTTGTATTAATTAAAGCAAACCAGTTACAGATTTATCAACAACATATTACAGTTTTTTACAGACGCTAGGACACATTTCTCAATACTTAGGTCACTTTTGCAAAACTCCTCACACAGTGAGCACAACAGAAGTCTATGTGGGCTAAACTGAGGATCAGTTATCATTGTTTTGGCACAAAATGCATTCAATGACTACATCTCTCAAATTTCATGAATTATCTTCTCACTCAAACACAACAACTGCCAAAAATCTTTGTACGTACAGGACATTTTGCATGTGCTTACATACTGTTTTCAAAACTGTTAAACTTATGGCCAAAACAATAACACAATGCAAAACTT